CTCCCACATTTCCTTTATTTTTAAATTTATTGTATAATAATATTTAGTATTTTTTGTTACTTGGTTGGTTGATTGTAATTTTAACTATCACCACCACCACCACCAGAACAATAACAACATGATGATGACGATGATAGAAAACCTGAATTATAGGTCCAACTTTTTTGTCTTTTCCTAAAATTGCCAATTGACCTTTATAAATCCAATTCGCCCCAATTTCTCCAGCTTGATCAACTCTTATCATTTCATCAATTAATTTTTTTTTTAATAAGCATAATATCAAACGTAAGCCAATCAAAAGTTATTTATAGTCTAAACATCACTCAGATAAATTTCACATTTGATTAGCACGCAATACATATAACAATGACTATTTATTCTTAACGATTTACATGTATTAAAATAAATTTTTTTTTACTGAATATATATAAAAATAATTATTAGTATATTTAATATTTCGATTTTCGTCGCGTAAATTCAAGTTACCCGTGATCTATGGTTCAAATAAATCCTTTTGGGAAACCACAAGGATAAAATGTTTTAATAAAAAGAAAAAAGTAAACCGATGGAAATGAAGCTTAGATCTTTAGCTTTAATTCTATCAGTTTACTTTTTTTACTTTTCCTTTTATAATCATGTGATAATAATTGACGTTATAGATGTCCTGCCTGCACTATATAAATAGTAGAAAGAATATTCTATTAGTACTTTGAGTATAGTGGCAATCATTTAAAGGCATCACAAAATATTGCCAATCTTTAAATGCTAGTAGGATGGCGTGTGGCTACCTTGGTATTCAACCTTCAAATGTTGATGATGAAAAGGCATTTTCTCAAGCTGGTTTTACAGTCACTAATTACAAAGAATAACTTCAGTAAAAAAACGATTTCTTGCACAATACTTATGCATTCATGGTTAAAGAAAGCAAGAAAAAACTTAGCCCTTTTAACGATATGCCGAAACAAAATAGTAATACTTTAATAAATTGTGTTTCTGAACCGAAATAAAGTAATATTTCTTTGCTAGTTAAATACTGTCAATAAACGTGCAATAGGTTCTATGCCGGGCACTATTGGCACTGTGCGAGCACTAGTTTCGGCACCCACCCAAGTGCCCAACTTTTTTTATTAGGACTAGTACTCATGCCCGTCTCTGTATCTGTGCCCTAAATTTTTCGTTAGGCACGGACATGTGCTAGTTAAAGGAAACTTATTGAATTCAAAAATGAAGCCTTTAATCTTAAAATTGAGATTAATCAAAAAATAATTTTCTCTACACAGATTTAAATTAACTCTATAGATTTTCCAGTTTTCAAGAACTGACGAATTAGTCAGCGGCAATTCTAAACAGAAAATCTCCAATGGCTTTACATCATTAGAAATTGTCAAATTACTAATCAACGAAGACAATTACCATTAAAATATATCGGCAGAGTTATAAATGATTTAGCAGAGTTATTGAACGAGACTGACCTATATGACGTAGAAATTAAAGTTGGGAAGACAAGAATATTAAAACTTTCAAATTAAAACGCACTAGAAGGAATATAGAACGAAAATTTTTCACAAATAAAATTCCATCATATATGTTATTCATTGACTCTGTTTAATCATTTTATAGCCTTGCTGATATA